CGATACACAACAGCACCTTATGTATCCTGGTAAGGAAAACTAACCTCTTCTTTTCCAAGTCCCACATTAAGAATGATACAAAGTGAGCTGAGAAGAATTAGTAAAAACCTCAAAATTTTAAAAATGGTTTTTCCACATATTTATTCATAGATGATGAATAATGTTCTTTTAGCATGTATTTTAATAGTGTTTTTTATTTTACCGTGTGCAATAACGGTAAGTCAAACATACTGCTTGAAAAGTGCTGAAGGCTTAAACATTCCAAACTATACAGGTGAAAGTGTGATGGTATTAGACAAAAAACTCAACAGTAAGGGCAACGTTCTACTCTGAAATCACACAAAATAGGGATGATAAACAGCCAGTCCAGACCTTTAAAAGGTCTTAGATAAAGCATTTCAGGAAGCAAAAATGTCTCACAAACGTATGCTGGTGCCACAGGCTTTCTGGGTGAAAGTTGCCTGGGAACTAACTATTGCTATTTAAAAAGATTTTGGAAAAGGCTTCTCCAGTCAGTGTCCTACTGCTCTGAGACTTTCTCTCTCAGGAGGGTTCTGGAGATGGCAGTGCTGTAAGCTGGAAGCGTTCACAAAAGCAGCAGCAGCACATTTCCAGTGCAGGGGGTACTGGGCAGAGTTCTCCACACCATGGGCCATGTAAACAAAACACACGTGAAGTGAGGTTAAAAAACGTTCTGATCTTGAAAGCTCTATGATTCCTACCTCTGCCTGAAATCCATAATCATAACTTTAAGCAAGGAATGTCAAAGATGCTTTAAAGACATAAACTGCTAACAGGAAAGGCAGATTAATTGAACATGCTCAAATGGATATAAAATTGTTCTAATACACTGAAAAAAGAAAGGGAAGGAAAATAAAAAGATCATATTACGCAAAAATTACCATATTGGTGATTATATCTGTTCAACAGACTTTTTGAGGAATTTCTTTTATAACATGTTTGGTCACTGTGTGTGGCAATCACAAGTCTATTTTTTTACACGTTGCAAAAGTATCACACATGTGGAACATTGCACTCATCATGCTACTTAAAATGAAACCAAGCCTCAGTTTATGCTAAGTAAGATTCCTTACTTGCTACCACGACACTTAGTCACTAAGAGCTGCAATTCAAACTGCAGGGTTGCATTTCAGCTAAAAAAAAAAAAAACAACAACAAAAAACCCCCACAATACACTGCAGATTTCTTTTGGCATCAAGCAAATTAAAATTCTCAGTCAGCATTAGAATACTATTTTTTTCCAAATACATACTAGATAGAATATACAATCACCAAGAAATAAAAGTGCTTAGCTGAAGTATTTGTGTGTAGGTGTATATGTACATACCTTAAACATACACACAGACTAAATATGAAGAACACAAGCAATGTATTGCAATAACAGCTCTCTTCTTAAAGACAGATTTATGTAAGAGTGTAAAACTTGGAAGTTATCTTTACAACTATTAAAAGCTCCCCAGTATCTCTAGATGTCTGCCTTCAATAAATCCTGGAAAGATTCTGCTCACATACTGAGTTTCACAGAATGTGCAGCACATGTCAACTTCAATAAAATCAGTACAGTTCTTTAATTACCCCATTCACCCAGCAGCTGCTTTAACAAAGTATTTTTCTGAACATGTAAAAATGTAAAATACCAAAAAAATCAGTCATCTATGTGCAATGACTACTCAGCATCTAACAATAATGGATATACTGAAGGAAAAAAAGGTGAGTCATGCCAAGCCCTTAATTCTCAGTGACTGACTGTAAAGCACTTACAGTCAGCATTAAGCTTTTAAAACTCTAACCCTAATTAATCGTAAACAAAGAAATAAAGACCTCACAGTTAGTTTTAAAATCTTAAACACTAGCACATAACTTTAAATAGTTTTTCTGCTTTTTCTGATTCACGCAGCATTCTTCCCAGGTAAAATATGGACTTCTGCATGAACACAGGCTAACATACAAGTTAAAAAATAACAACACCTATTTAAACACAATTATACCTGGCATTTTGGACTTCAGTGGTAATATATTGCTTGCCATAGAGCAGAAAACATCCCCGTTAGCCAAAACCAAAGGTGCAGAAATCTATGTGCACACAACCTCTCCCCTTCTCCAAACACTTATGCCCACAAGTCTTTTCATGGTACAGGACAGCAAACACCCTCTTCCCAGGCTGTAGGGAGCTTGGAAGTGTATGACTTGCACACATTTATTTCAACCTTGGTGACAGCACAGCAACGAAAAGCCCATTAAAAAGAAAAAAGTCAGATAACTGGATACAATCAACTTGTAATCATTTTCTTATAACGTGTTAGCAAAAGAGAGCCAGCTAACTAATCTTAGCACAGAACAAACCTAATTTATACACAGTAGGATGTTGTCAGATTATTTTAAAGCTAATAATTATTTCTAGCAGCAAGGCAACGTTACATTTTGTAGAAGTATACACTTTGTAGAAGACATTTGCTCTGAAAAAAAGATGTTCATGTTTGACTGGGGGGGGGAGGATGGATGAACAAGAGAAACCCACCAAAGCCTTTGAAAAAAGCATGGCACTAGGAGACAGGAACCTTACCAATGCCCCCCCCCCAGTCCTTTTTTTGAAGAGAAGCTTAAATAACTTTGAGTAACTTTTCAGTAGAAGCGGCCATACTATGAAGATATTTGCTACACGGAGACTTTTCACTCCTTTCCAAGCCAAAAGGATGTCTAAGATGACCCAGTCTGACCCCAGGTGTTGCAAAAGCCACAGAAGCCTGTGAGGAATTCCTCTACCCCACCCAGCCATTTGTTCAAGCATATACCTCTATAAAAACATTTCATCCTCACCCAAAAGATAGAAAATCTAATATTCCCTTTCTAATAATTTCTAATGATTCATTGCCCTTATTAAAAGTTTGCTCCTTTGTTTGTCATTAACTGATTTTTATCTCTGTATATTGTCAACACATACTGCCTTGAAAATGTTTTGCTATGTCTGGAGCATTCAAATAGTCATATAAAACCAGGTGTCCCATTACAGATGTAAAGATTACTTTCAGAAATGCACCTTTTATTCAATCAAGTTAGAACTGAAGTTAAAGGAGTTAGAAGGTAACCATATAGTACCTATTAAGAAGGTAAACTATGTTTTGTCGAACATATTTGTGGAGAACATATAAAAAATCATGTATTTATCATAATAAACACACAATTATGCATGGGATTCCTGATAGATTCAGACAGATTATAGCAATCACCAAAGAGCCAGGAAGTCTATATGAAACCAACCTTTTATTTGGAGTATTTATAAGAAGAAAATCTGCCTTCTCTGAAGTTTTGTTTTCTTTTTAGCACCCTAAAAAATATGGCAGTCTTAACTATAGTATTTGATCATTTTAAATGCTTGGATGTAAAAATTTACTTACTGGGGTAACAACAGTTACAGGAGCAACAGTGTTCTATGTAAGACATGTTATTTTGCAGTACTGGTTTACCTATGTGTTACCACTTAAGCAGGCAAAAAGATTACTGGGAATCACAAGCATTTCATTAAACATTTTAACCTTGGTACTACAATAGTCCATATTAAGATAAAAAGAATTATATGAGTTATGGGCTGTCTCAGAAAGATGTGGAGGTTTGTTTCCACTTAGTTCCTGGTCAGGGGAGACATCTAACAGTCCTTTGGAGGAGATATATTACTTCTGAACCCAGCACTGATACTGAGAGCTCAGCCATGGGATCCTGGGCTGCTGCAACAGGGCACAGCTCTCACACCTGGAGCCACACCCCACTTCCCCACAGAACTGCAGAGACTGGATCGTGGCAAGCTGAGGATTTTGGAAACTATGTGCCTGGCACTTTGCCTCCTTGAACTATGCACACACCAAGCACCACACTACATGTATAGGCTAACGAGGTAAGAAAGACTTTGACTGAAGAGTCCAACATCTTCTCAACATGTACATAGTCAATTCAACTCAAAACCTGGCAGAAAACCAATAGGTTTCCCACTGTCACATCATAACTACAATTTTTTACACAGAATTTTAAAATACCAGTGAATTCTAAGTTTGTGCACATTTCCAAATCTCTCTTTAAGCCTTAGTCCTGGGACCCAACCTGCCTCATCCCTTCACATTACTATTTTTCAGACCCACAGTTCAGGGAACAGCAGATGTGGGCTGCAGCCTGAAGACACTGTGATAAGGCAGTGCTGCCAAGGATAAACCAGCCAGGGGAGGCAGTCCTTTGCCTGCAAAGCAGCATCTGCCCCTTACACACCATTTCCTTTCTAGACATAGTACATTTCTTTCCTCCCTTACATAGGGTACAATATGGCCAGTGCATACTTCCTCATTCTTTACCATAAGGCCAATGAGAAGACAATAGATGCCATGCCAGCTGAGCTGGATATTCAGTCCTTTCTATGACTGAACTCTGTTCTTTTCATCTGGCACTGCCCCGAGAGGAGATGAAAGCAGCATTGCTGCTCTCAGGTTTCTGAGGATTAGAAAGCCTCTTGTTCCTTGTACCCTCGAGCTGTCTATAGGACAGCACCTACACTCCACAGCCTTCTCACAAGAAGGGTCAGTGCTGACGGAGCTGTTTAGCACACTATTGTTTCTCAGTATGACTTTGAGTACTAGAGATTATCCATACCATTATAATTTTGGCACAGGGAACATCAGGAGCTTGGATGCCTCATCAGACTCCAGCACCTACTGATTCAAACTGGAGAAGCAGCAGCAGCCACTCCTGCTGGAGGTGTTCTTGCCTCTTCACTCAAGGCAGCTCATGTCAAAAGCAGTTCTCCTGAGGCATGTGTTGGCTGAGGCAGCCTCTTTGATGAGTAAAGCACGACTGTGTGTTCTCTAGATAATGGAAACATTTGTACCATTCCCGTACCTTGACCAGATATGTTTTCCTGAAATAGGTGTCTGCCATGTACACACACTTATGTCACATCTCTCCCCTCACACTGGCACACGGAAGGAGTAAGTCAAAAAGCACAGGTTTATTTTGTATTATCCAAGATATCCATGAAATGTGAATATTATACATGACATAACTGCACAGCTTTCTAACACGTCCAATTTTTACAACAGCCGAGAGATGCAAACTGCACCTGCTGAAAAGGCTACACCAGGACCAGTCCTCAACAACCCTCTTGTCAACACACCACCCTTCCCAGACACACCGTCCTCACAGCTGGCCTCTGTATTCCCTGCCCTTTCATCAAAGTGACCCAGGGTGATAGATAACTAATATTTGATGACACGATTAACTTTGGCTGAAATGAGTCTGAGTGTGCTCAGGGAAGCAGTTCAGTTTGCTTCCCTAGCAGGGGCAATAACCTCCCAGAGAGAGCGAGCAAGCAAGCGTGCAAGAAGCCTCCTTCTTTAACCAGCACAGCTGCTGACAAAGGAGGCTGTATCTCTTGCCTTCTCTGAAGTTAATCCCAGCAGTTTAAAGCAGACTTGTGAAAAAAACATGAATCTGAAGTAACTCTAAAATGCTACTCCAAGGACACATTAGTTCCACTTGAGCCAAAGTATATGCCAGACGCAATAGGTCAGGTTCTAGTCGAAGAGATTGCAGAGAAAGTAAGAGCTAATAATTCTTAATTTGGCATAACACGACATTCCCAACAGCTTCTCTCTCTCCTTCCAGTAATTGCATCTTGGCAGTGTACATATTAAAAAAATTATTGCACAAAAGATGTTCTGTTGGGGGGGAATAGGAAAGCACCTTTCTTTGTGTCATTTTGAAAACTGAAGACACTTTTACTGAAAGGCAAAATATGCTGATCAAAGCACGATGGGGACAAAACCTCATTCATTCCTTATTTGTTTAAGAATTACCAAAAAGAAACATTTTTGCAGGAGGCTAAGGCAACAGTAATTTAGACAATAATAAATTGAGCATTGTAAGAATAACTATTCCATTGAATAAAAGAACTCTGGCAAGAAACTTTTCACATAGCATTCAACAGACATTCAAATAAATGAATGAAGTATGCAAGTTAAATTACTTCAAAAATAAAGACTTTCCAGAGGTTTACCATAATGACAACATTGTATAGAAAGATACAATAGCTCTTTGTAGCCTAAAAATTGTCAGTTTTATTTTACAAAGATGACTTGCAAAAGCATCTTGTCATGACAATTGAGTTTTGAGGAAAAAACAACCTGTCATTTGATAAATAGATGAAATTAACTGTCATTAAAGCCACTTAAGCACTCCTCCTTCCTGTTATCCTTCTCATCTTGGCAGTAACTGATAAGAAGATTTCAGGGAGGCTCAGTCATTGATGGCAGGATCTAGAAAAGAAACAATTTTGCATACAGTTATCATTCACATTCACAGCTTCTAGTTACTCTATTTCACTAACCTGCACTTAATTGGCTTCCTTCTGCCACTGGCATGAGCACAATGGACCACATGCTTCATACAAATCACCACTCACTGCTGCAATTACACCTTATACCACGAGAATATCGAAGTGGTTGCAATGCTATCATGTTGATAGTGCATACAGAAGTAAAATTAACAAAGTCCTGTTACCCACCAACTCTGAATTGCTAATACCAGCCATGTGTGTCAACCAGTAGGGACCAGACATTACTTATTATCATGCAGTTCATTACTTATGGGACATAGCTGAACTTGAGACTGGTAGATTTCTCTGTAACTTCTGGAAAATATACTTCTTGTCAACAAAAACACACCACCAAAATAAATGAAGGACCAGATGCAATGGTTACAAGAGAATTAGTGAAGAGGAAAACTACAACTGCCTATTTTCCCAAAAAATTCCAAGATTTTGTTTGGCTAAGCAAGCAGCTTCAAGAGGAAAGGAGGACATGGATTGGGCAAAGAAAAAGATCTGAGCCTGGCATATCCAGAATAACTCCCATGCAACCCTGGAAGGCTGTGTGCATGGCAACCCCACTTCCAACATAGAGTAATTAATTGTATTCCCACATTAAAGCTACCATGGCACACCTCCACCTTGGCAGATTTCTGTCTGGCTTTAATCTTCTCCATCTTCCACATGCCAGGTTCCTCACACCAACTGGCCCTCACTGACAGCTGAGTTTTTAATGCCATACAGTACCTCGATGCAAACAAGTTTTGCCCTTTTTTTCCACCATTCTCTAGACTACACAGCCATTTAGTCATTGCACTGACATAACAATTCCACCTTCTCTACCATAGTGTAGCTGTACATCCACTGATGTGAGAATGGGAAGTGAGGGTCTTTATCCCTACAGGAGCCTTTCACTGAGCAACTTGCATCATTTTTCATGCTGAGGACAGAGCATATGGTCCTTCGAAGGGACATCAAAATAAATATGACAGGTCACTGCAATCATCATACCGAATGAATTCAAATGATGCCATACCTAAAATGAAATGTGTGCACATAATAAAGATTCAAATGACAAAAAAAAAAAAATCCCCCACCCTTTATCCCTCTTTGAATTATTTATGAATTCTGCAACTCCAGCTGTTGCCACCAGCCCAAGGACATTACTTCATTTTGGGAATGACACTTCACATTAAAAGATAAGTTAACAAAACAAAACAAAAAAGGACACTGTGGGCCCTCCTTAAAAGCCACAGCAAAGCGCAATACATCTTTTCCCAGCATTTACAATGGAAAATAATCAACAATCAATTCCGTTCATGTTTCTCAACTTGTTTCAATAATTCCAGACACAGATTTCAACACTCATGCATTAAAGTCAGCCATGCCTTTTTAACCATTGCAGTTAGGCAAGACTTTCAAAGCATCTTGGATCCCTCACATATTTTTTTAGGGTTATCTCCATCTTGCAGTTCACCATAAACCACTTGCCAGCATATCTAAGATATGATAGTATCTGCGATACTATCAGCACTCAAGTTAGTGACAGTTTTTAGTACATAAAATGGTCATCCCAAGAAAACGTGGACATTCTGCATATACACAATATATGAAATACATTTTTTATTATGCAGTAATTTTTTCATAAATGATAACACCTTCAACATGTGCAGTTTAGGGAACAAAGAATTGTTTTCAACTAATCATGGCATTTAGATTAGCAAATTCTACATAGTGCTATCTGCCCACTCATGGACTGCTCTGATTTGGGTTCCATCATATATTAGTTCTTAGATTTCAAACAAACAAATTGGCAGGGAGTGTGGGGATGGCTCAGCCAGTAAGCACAATTTCCATCACCTACATTAACATGCACTCCTTCCCTCCCACACTCTTTAAACTATGAACTCATTTTGCTTGGCTGATCTGGAGAGCAAGATAACACAGATGCTGAGTAAACAGGAAAATAATAACTTTTTTTAAAAAAATCAACCATTGGTTTTGGTTGCTACCTTATTCATAGTGGAATCTGATTATTAAATAGGTATAGAGATCTGAACTGTTACACAAAACCACCCACACCATTAACATCGCATCACCTTTCCACTACAGGAGCATATTGATGCACTGTGTTCATGTCAGGTCTGAAATTAACTGAAATGGGTCAAAATTTGCAAGTTGCCAAGCCTGGAGGGACATATGACCCGTAAATATTAGCCCTTCATGATTTACCAACAGCCTCTTCTCTGCCACAAAGGAGATTACTGTGTTCTTACCCATGACCTTCATTTCACAGCGTTTTACGCTTTTACCTAACTGAACAGCAGTTGGGTTTATGTTCTGCTCCTGGGAGATCCCAAATTCCATAGGAACTTTTAACCAGTTAATTATTTGGGAATGTTTTTTGTCTGAGTTTTTATTTTTTTCTCCTCCATAATCACCTGAAAGTGGACTCACAGTTGTCACAATTCTAACACCAAAAGGAGATATGTGAATAAACCTCAGAGCTTCCACGGTACCAGGAATCTCCAGTATTCCCCACAAAGCTTGCAAGTCACTTGTCAGCTTTCTGCAGCCAAGAATACACCATTTGCCTTTAGTGCCAAGCACATGGTTCAGACCTGAGCTAGAATGCCAGACATTTAATAAGCAAACTCATCTTTGGGAAAAGCAGCAAAGCAAGAGTTGTTACCTGTCTTGCAAGTGAAACAAGCCAATGGCTTGCAAGCAGAGCCCACTTTAGTTTCGCTGTCAGCAGTACCTCCAGCAGTATCTGCTGTTATTCAGTTTGGTACCACTGAGCTCATGCAGTGTTATTCAGGAAAAGGAGATGTTGTTTAAGCAAACGTTTATTTGCCCTTCAGTCTGCATCAGAACTGGCACCCAGCCCTGATCAGTCTCCCTCTTCCTTGCTACTGTGAGAAAGCTACCAAAAAAGAGCATTCCCCTCCCATCTCCTGCTGTTGGCCAAAGAAATAAAACGTACAGAAACAAAGAAAACAGGCAGAGAACTCGGGATGTGTAAAATACCACCGAGCAGGAAATTAAGGTTCAACATTGGAACATTTGTAGACCTCTTGTAACATTTAACAAGAGCCCCAAAGTCTCCTGTTGTCAGGGCTATATATTTGAGTCTATTACTGCCTCACCATTAATAATTCTCAAAAATTTTGGAAATCCCAGGTGCTGTGCACAAACCCTCTCAAAAGTACAATTATTTACAGTTGTAACCCACTCAAAAGTACATCACATTTTTTTCTGAAAATTAACAAAGTAAAAACAGGAACATATCTCACATTCCAGGGTTGCCATTTAACTCTCAATGCCACAGGTTCTCAAGTGCCTCCTGAAATACTTTCTAGCTGTGCTAAAGGAATGACATTTGGAAAAAAATCACCTGTGTGCTGATAGGAAAACATCCTTCTGAAGATTTTCACAAGCTAGTTGGATGCAATTGAAGTCAGTCCTCAGAAAATAAGGGAAGTCGTCTTCGTGCCCAAACATGCTCACTAAATGCTTCTGGCTATGACATCGTTTCATAATTGACACATTATATAAAAACACCTCAAGAAGATATCTTTTTGTATATGTCTGGATTACACAGCTATTTATACCCAGTGCCTCTGCAGAGCCTTCCCATTGTTGCACAATGCTCTTGAATACAAATGACCAATTGATCCTTTCACATGATAGGGTGGTTTGGTGGGGTTTTTTTTAGCGTTCAATTCTTTCAATGGTAAAAAGAATTGTACCTCAGCATGGCCTTAAATCTAATCCTTACTCTGAACAACTGAAGTACATTCGTATTAATCTATTAGATGCTTTTCCACACCACACCTATGGCACTGCATAAGTTACTGTAATTTAAATGAATCACTGCTTGAAAATTCTCATTTGGTAAGAAAAATGCAGTGCTCCATGGTACAGAAAGAAAAATGTGCACTATGGTAACTAAGTTTTATAACACAGTATATCTGGGTGCTCATAAACCAGCTACTCTAAACTGTTAAAGGACAAGAATATTAGACCGATCACACAGAACACGCATCATTATGCCAAGAAGTCAATAACATGAAATCAAATCTACAGTTTATTTAGATATATTTCCATGCCCATATTGAGAATCCACATTAAAAATGCCATTAGGCTGGTTGAAGAATATTACTGCAAAAGACATTTACACCAACAGTAATTCTATCTCCGTCCTGGATAACTTGCATTTTTCTCTTTAAATGTTTGATCTCCTGAAATATATTGAAGACAAAAACTTGGGGGAAAAAAAAAAAAGAAGGGGAAAAAAACCAAACAGAAAATCCCTGAAGTTCTTTTGTTACATTATTCTACATATTACTACTGTTTAAGGATGAGTTGTTTAAGATTGCACATTTCAACTATCTAACAGTAAAGAATGAAAAGCTTCTTGCTACAAGCTAAAAAGAAAGTCTTTACCATGCTCCTTGAAGAGCTCATTTTCACATTACTCAGGCTTCATTATGCTGAATCAATATTCGTTTAGTCACTGGGGTTATTGACATATTTTAAAATAAAAGTATACCCTTCAGCTACTGCACTCATTACGGGTAATTTGTCTTGTCAGGGAGCAGGGAATATTATCCCAGTCTTTCAGGGGCTGACAGCCCATGGAAATACCTCCCCTTGGTTACAACTGTAAATAATTTTAAGGTAAAATATTGAAAAATCAATGACTGTTTCCTGCAATCTGTCACAAACAAATCAATCATAATCTGCACAGCCAGAGAGTATGATTTGAAGGAGATGAGAGCAGATGTAATTCTTGGCTGGAATCTCTCATTTCAAAATCACTTCACATAATGGTGTCATCATTTAAACACTTAGCAGTCACTGCAACTGCCACTCATAACATCTAGTTGGACAAAACCACAAGGAAGAGGAGGAGAAATGCCACTGCTGTTATGTAAACAAACACTTTATTTCAGTGGTTGCAACATTAGCAAATTCTACAGATAGAACAGCAAGGCTCCCCTCTCCACAAAAGTCCAAGACACTTTTCTTTCTCAATGGGAGACTCAAATTAGCTTCCCAAAATGCAAACCATTTTAAATTTTAAAACAAAACTTCATAAGGTTTCATAAAAGGTAAGCAATAATATCTAGTACTAATACTACTTCTAAAAATATTTCAGTTTCATTCACTCCAAACCACTCGTAACAGAATTATGCACCAAATTCTTAGTAGATTAAGGAAGGAGAATTATCTGAGGTACCTTTGTCTTTTTAAGAGCAATAAGGATTTCAAGGCTTCTTTGTCCCCTACATATTACATTTCACATCTAATTTTCATTAAGCACACAATGATTCAACTTTAGGGTAGGGAAAAGACTGCAGAGTACAGGGGAAATAAAGTCATAATATACATAAATGAACTGCTAATATATTTTCAACTTGCATTTAAAGATTAAATGTTGTATACGGAATTACATTTTTATAAAAGATCAATTCATACATAAAGAATTAACTACAGCAGTCAGAATGCTATAAATCCGATCTTTGTAAATGTGAATAATTTGTGTAAAACTAATCTTTTTTTATAGAGTAACACTAATGCTTGGACTGAAATTATTTCCTCATTTGTCCCCCACCTCACTACATTTTCACCCTGACACTACAGAGTTTGAGAGAATTCTCTGCAGATCAGACATGACAAAAAAGCAGCACACAGGATGAAACTGCTGTGCAACTGCAACCATGGGCCTAAGCCTGCATTCCTTGCACAAACAAAATTCACAAACGCTCATGGAGTGTTTCACTCTGGAGTCTATAATTTGAGCTCTTAATCTTTAATGTGCAGAGCCCGTTATCACATACTCATTTTAATCACATTAACCTTACCAACTCCTGAATATTTATCTCACAACTGTGAGACTAAGAAAAAAAATGTAATCAAAAAGATGAAACTATTTTCTCTTTGCTTGAAAAAAAATCCCTTAATGCTGTTTTTTAAAATGAAATAATAGGGTATATTGTACATCAAGTAAACCTCTCCAAGGTTTGCCTTCTTTTAAAGCAGGCTTTAAGTCCCTTTATCTTCTACATGGAAAACACACATCTCTAACTATTGATACACATCAAAACCACTATTGTTTGTAACAGCTGGACAGATTCTCTTTCTTAGCAAAATAAACTATTAAAAAAAACCCACACAAGTCAAGTCTTAGACCAGAAGAAACAGTGAGTGCCTTAGAGGGTAACTAAGTGTAAATATCAGCCGTGAAGCGGATCAGCTTATCGTGGGGAAAGGCCGCCCTATCGCGAAGGGAAGCGGGAGGAGGCAGGGGGTGAGTAATTGCTAAAAACAAATGTAGCTCCTAGAAATGAGTTGCAGTACCTCACTTTTTCCCTGGGTGAGATCTATAATGAAGCTATCCGACAGACAGCCTCAGGCTCCTCAGCCCTTTCCAATCTCCTCACCGGCCAGCGACGCTCAGGGAGGGAAGAGCGTGCTCGCTACATTAAGCCATGGTGGGAGGGAGAAGCACTGTGCCACTCTGAACCTGTCGGCATCTCTCCCCACTGCCATTCCCCTGAGCCAGGTTGTTATTTCTTGTGACAATCACCTAATTAGGTGGGTCAAGAATTGCAGAAGATAGAAGAGATTCATCCTTCCTACATGCCAGCTCTCCTATTTGTAAAAATGAAGGCAATGACTCTTCCCCTCCATTGTAAGGCACTTAATAAATGTTAATAATAATTAAGTCAGTCACATCTCCCAGACAACACTGTCAGATCTTTTCTTGCAATATTTGAGAACTACTGGGCTCAGGAGGGAGCTCCAGACAGAAAAGGACTCACAAATGCCATCCTTCGTTGCAAGAGGTCACAGAGGGCTGTGCCACAACAGACATTTCACAACCACTCCCTGACAAGGGAAGCCCTGAGAAAAAAGAACAGCACATGCTGTGGCACTACAGATGTTTATGGGTCAGCACTGTAAGTGCTATTTTCTGCTGGACAAAGCATTAAGATGCTGTAACAGCTATGAGGACTGTGAAGTCTTTCTGGTTAAGAAGTTGAACTAGCTTCAATTTCTTGAATAAAAAGGTGTTTTTCTTCATTCCATCTTTATCAAGAAACAAAAGAATTACAGGCTATGAAAGAGCTGAAAAAAGAAAACATGTTAGTTTAAAAAAAGCTATTAGCATTTCCTCTATTACCTACCTTCTCCATTTACTACTCTCACTCATAATGTTCATTTAAGCCACTGGCACATGTTCATTTATTTAATGTACCTCCACATGATCACCAAACAACATAGCAATGCAATATTACATCATGCAACATAATTGATATTACACTATTAGCAATACTCTACCTAATGAAGTTTAAAAGTCTTCATGTTTGGGCATTATGGAAAGAAGAAGAATCCTGTTTTGAAATAGCTCTGCCTTCCAATTCTCTTCATCCCTTCTTCAATATTGCTAAGACCATCTCATCTCACTGAGCTCACCTGGAGGACAAAAATAGAAAGAAAAGAAGAGCATACTTATTACAATTCTTATCACCTGCACTGCATGATCTTCTCAACAGAAACAGGACTAAAGCTGATGTATGGGGAAACATTAATTTTGGATTTTGTTAGAGACTGAACCTACTACCAAAAGGAATGTGCCACTACTGTAATGACTTGTTTAATGAATCATAACACACAAAAAGCAGACTACTTACCATTAACTCTGAATAGGACTTAATATGATTAAAAAGAGCTGCAAGCCCAGATGCATTCTGGCTTGTATGAGGTCTCTTCCCGTACTCAGGCAGGTATGGGATAGGATGGACTGCTGGGTTCATTTTCCCCACTGTGAACCTCACTGCTTCTGCTCGTGGGTGCATCCTATAAAGACAAAAACGCAGACATGTGGAGGGGCTCACCACAAAGCGGTGCCTATGGAAATCAAAGAGCTGTGGAATACAAAAATTTAATGGTATTTAGCTAATGAATCAGTAACAGCATTAATAACTTGCTCTTGCTCAAAAGCACAACAGTCTAACAATCATATGAGCACGGACACCAACTTAAATCTGAACATGTGTGGGACAAGCAGAGAGTTCCAGTTAGGTAAACTGAGGCTGAAGTTACATGAACAAATCTAGGTCATGGGATGTGCCAGAAACGGAAGAAGAAAAGGTCTAGTCCCTTGCCTTCTACCAAGTGTTCCCATCCCTTTCTCAGCCAGTATAAAAGTCTCTCAGTCCTTCTGCTGTCTCCTCTCAAAGATCTATCCGGGTGACCTCAGCTTGAGTTTCACTCAGGGACACAGTAGCACAGTTTATACTACAGAGAATATCAGCTGAATTCTAACCAAAGCAATAAATTAAATACTGAAATAAACTTAAGAAAAAGCATAGAGAAAAAAATACCTTTAAAATAACCTTTGAAACCCAGGCTCTACAGAGCTGTCCCTCTTCTCAAGAGACATTCATGAAACCTAATGTCTACAGAAGCTGGGATACAGTAAGGTCCTTCCTAGATAACAGCCAGCAAGCCAGCACAAACAAAGTAATTCTTGCACTGCCAATATCATAAAGAAGTTGTAGGCACCTTTTTATAATGACAGAGTATTCTTAATAAAAGCTTCAAGCAGGTTTTACAGCTGCATATTATCCAATGAAACCAGTAATAAACTGTGCTGTAGAATTATTTAGTGCAACTCCAATACACCAAGAGCCACAGCCTCAGTTTTATTTATCACACAGGCTAAAATGTTAGTTCTTGGCTTTACAGTAGCAGTCAAGCCTGTAGCTATCTTTTATTCCAGCACGCTGCCATCTGGATATTGATAGTTTGCTATGGGATATGAAAGAAGAGCACAGTTACCTAATACAGCTTAATTGAAAACAGAGGACCTACGTATTATACCATGCATTATTCTATATAAAATTAAATCTGAAGGGCATGAAAATTTCTGTAGGTGTCAGCAGAGATTATTTCAGAGGTAAATGCTATGTTCTTGATCTGTGCTCAAAATGCTAAGAAATATTGCAAAAAATATGTGCTTATGAAAAGAAGGAGCTAGGTTTTGCTCCATTGTGAAAAAAGAAGTTGCTCAGGAAGATGCATCTCCTTCAGGAAAAGAGTGACCAGTCCCAAGTTTATTAGTACCGTAAACTCTGTTATAATAATCCATATTCACCTTGAAAGGTCCAACTGCTTTGCTTTTTTCCCCTCAAACAATGACTTATGTATTAAAAAACCCACATTATTCTGGCTCTACAAATACACACGTTAATCTGAAAAAAAAACAGTTTCAAGAATCATTCACATTTGCATTATCCACATTAAGGGACAGAAACTAAAAAGCTCTAATATTAATAAAAACCAGAAATTATTAACTGCTAAAAAGAACTATTTGGGTGTAGGGCTAGAAAGTCTACCTGGTTCTATGTTTCTCCTCAGAGAGGTACCGCTGAGCTCTTGCAAACACCGGCCATAAGGACTGCAAATATATGTAAGTAAAGCAGATAAAGCACAAAACCTTTGGAACACAACACTGCTATTAAAAGTCACCCACCTCTAACACCCACACGGGAGGCCAGATTCCAGCTACAGGAGCTCCCACCATGCTGCAGCACCTGCATTCAAAAGGGATTTTGCCACCATATGGGAAACTATGGGCACACACACGTCCCATAAAATGGCACGGGGAGCCACAGCCATTCTTCCCACTGAGTTGCTCTTCATTTGTTATAAGGACCAACTAAGAGTAGATGCAGTTTGCTTTAAGTGAAAAACTTGTTCCAGACATGAAAGAGAACAGTTTTTCATTTTTCACCGAGAGCCTATTTTCTGCATATGTCCATGGAACTGTAAGTAAAATAAACTCTAAAGACATCCCTAACTTAGTCCATATTATGCCAACAAATTCAAGCAAATAATGCCATTTAAGTTAATTACAGGAAACTTCAAGGAAACTGAAATACAATTTCAGGTTCTCCCACAATACTGTCAAGATCTTTGGAGTTACATGTTCAATACAATAACTAGGTGCTTAAAAGGCTTGCCAGCTGCACTTCTGTGTTTTATTCCACTCACTAAAAAGGTTTGCTGAAGCAATTTAAAAAAAAAACAACTGAGACTGATAATTGGGTTCCCTCTAGCAGACAAAAAATTACTTTACATAGAAAGGCTTGAAAGAAAAACAAAACTTTATCTAAGGTAACTAATATCCAACTGCTAGACACAGAAGAGTTATTCCAGGTGTTCACAAGTTTATATCTCAGACCACAAACACAGAGTGTGAACAAGGAGCATCTTGGGCAATGTCAGTGCAGGCAAAAGGAACAGCAGAGCAGTGGAGGGTGTCTTGCAGAGAGAGCTCTTCCCAAGACTGTTCACCTAGGCTAAGAGCCACAAAACACCAGCATTTCCACTGCTCTCACTGACCCTGTAACTCCCAGCACTTCATCCTAGGGAAGCCAGCAGCAGTATCTGCAGTAGTGTCCCTAAGTTTTACAGCCAATATTTTACATGCATTTTTTTTAGCTCTAGCTCAGTTAATAATATACTGATTTAACATAGAAAGACACAAGCCCCTCCCTCCTCTTTGCATGCTAATTAGTTTTACTTCCATGGTAGTGCAAAGATGAGAAAAGAAAATTTTTTTCTCTTCATGCCTAATTTAAAAAATGAATATTCACGTGTATTTATTTCTCTCTGTTATGAGTTAACACTTTTAAATATAGTGTATAAAACATCTCTTATCAGATGCTTCCAGCAGCAATTTCCATCTGAGTCTCAGGGGTTTCTTTTTATAGGCCAGCCTTATACAAAACACAATATATGGGAGGGGGATTACTTTTTAAAATTTTTTTAAGAGGATTCCCTTACAGATCTCTTGGTAATATATTCACAAATCGAATTGGAGAAACAAATCATTCAGTAAGTGTCTAAGGTCGGGTACTCTGATAAAGAAATATCAAAAAGGTTTTGAGAAAACAGCCTCCTTCTCATCTACGCTTGTAAAAAGAAAAAAAAAAGTTGAAATGATCTCCTAATGCATCTCCCTTCATAATTCATGCCGAAAGATGACATTTTCTCAGGATCTTAATTAAGATAATGATGAACACCTGTGTCGGCATTCTTTGGCAAGACAGCATTATCCATCATAATCTTTTAAGTACTCTCAAAAAAACCAACAAAATCGTATGACGGAACCAATCTGTTGCCTCTCCTTGCACTAAGTTTTACATCTCAGACACACACAAGAACGATTAGATCTTTAAAGACTGCAATAAAAGCGGGATCGTTAGATTTTAAAGTTTCAACAGAAAGTAGCTACTAAAGTAATTAAATTAAGGTGTATCATATCCAAGATATCCAAGTTTAACTCCATTCACTACAAGCCACCTGGAACCAAACCACTCACAGTTAGAGTCTGCCAATGGCTGTACTTTTAAAATACAGTTTGCTGTTATTTTAAAGACGCCTCTGCTTCTTTTTCTGCTCCCAGAAAGAAAATATTCACAGCTGATCCCTATTACATACTTAGGCACTAATTTATTAAGCTATTTTACGCTGTGCCACATATGTTTGTATACCCTAAATGAAATTATGCAAAAGAAACCAGTGTAGAAAAACAAATATGCAAATTCAAATGTTACTACATTTTGGGTCATATTTTGTGCAGGCATCTCAAATCCAAGTTGCCCTCTTGTCAAAAACCCTACTGGAGTCCGACTACTAAACTAACCAAAGATCCTTTCAAACAGCCGTGCAGGACTAGCCCATGAGACTGAAGATTATAAAAATAGTGATTTTAATTATTTATTTATATAAGCAGAATTTAAATTCACATGCCTTTATTTAAATAAAGTTAAGAATGCACTTCCCATCGTTAAGCAAGATTTTAAGGGTAAATGTTTCTTCTATTGAATTAATAATTTATCTGTCAAAAAATTATGAGAAAAATATATTAAGTCCAGAAATTTAATATCAATTTGCAGTGATAAAGTTTCACTGGCAGCTACACAGTACTCAGTCTCCTGATACCAAGAACTCATCTATACTTTCAAATGTACCTACCTTCAGTAAAAATGAAGAGAAGCAACAAATGCATCCTCAAGCCCCACATTTGTTAACAGAACTGACAGAACAACATAAACAACGGTCTTGAAACAAACTTATTTCCCTTCAACCACATAGCTCAAAAGTCCTGTAAAGCAGATTAGTCTTAGGCTTTCACATTTTAATATGCCTATCAGAGGAAAAAGTTGCTGTGACTAGTCATTCAGCAGAGCTATCAATGTGCAAATAAAGCAGAAAATAGAGACATCCTTAAGAAATGAGTCTCAAATTTGATATAAAGTGAAGGTGACAACCACAGCAATAGAACTATAAACTAAATGTTTCAATATCTTGAATAATTATCTACAGTTCTTTTAAAACTGCAAAGAATATAATAGTGGCATAATGCAGCGAGAATGTCAGTTTGATAGACATTTACAATCCTGGCGGCATAAGAGTCCTATCACTGCCGTTTATTAATCAGCTCTGGTATTATGTTGCAATGCATGAAACTATGCATGAACTCACCACAGTTTCCAAAATGTGCGCCTACAGAAGAAAGATTAGTGGAACATCAGAAATAAAGAGGGTAATTTTACATGACGTTAACCTTACCTCCTTCCTCAAAAAAGTCAGACGCCATGGGAAGATGGTTAAAACTTCTGCTTCTCCCTACAAAGAAAGGAACACGGAAAAGGGTTTAGTTATTCTACTACTCGCATATAAAATGAATGTTAAATGTATAAAACTTGACCAGATGATATCTCACTCCCCGAACAAGAGGGATTGTCAGAGGATTATGACAGAAGCGCTTTTGAGTGGGAAAAGAAATGCGGCGCTCCAGAGCAATCGCAAAATGAACCCGGGGACAAACACCGGTGACATCGTGCAGCTGAAAACTGATGAAAGTGCACACCTGTGTGGATCGAGCATGTAAAGGGAGCGTGCGAGCCGGGGACCCGTCCCGCTTACGGGGGCAAAACCGCATGGATTTTAA